ACGTAGTATGTGGACACGGTCACATGGAAGTGTCGAGACCTAGCCGACCCAGTCAAGATAGACTTTTACCTAGATCTTCAGTGTATGGATAATCAATCTAAATTGCAATACCATATTTCAGTAAATCTCATGATTTATGTCTGTATATAACAGGTGATTCTTTAGTAAATATGCATACCATACTGAATCTTATTTTTGTGAATTGCCACAGCAGTATTATCTGTAGTTTTGGGATGGCAGTACCAAACTGAAACTGTGTACCTAAACCATCATCACTTCAGAAGTACTAGCACTCATGTTAACTGTGGCAAAAAAAATTGAACATGTTTTTCTTATGATAATTGTGCTAAAATATCACATTCCATGATCTCTTTTTAGTATGGGTAGCAAGAATTTACACTTAACGCCGAGCAGTTCATCTATGCTTCAATGATGTTTGTGTGCCGGGCCATATCTATCACCTCTCTAAGGTTCAAAAGCAACTCCTTTGCAAATTCATGGAACTTCTATTGTTATATCACCTTGTTTTCTTCAGTATCATCATCTTTTTTTGGTCTCACTGAATCAGGTTAAGAAGTGGAACGAGCAGAGGGAGAATGGGAGATTTGCAGGGCCCCTCTAAATCATCCATTTGAGATTCTCCTCAGTTGCTTTTGTGTCAGTGTTATTGCTGTCTTATGTTTGAATTTGTGCTCCTGTAATGTACTCTTTTCCAGCAATCGTTGGAGAACATATGTGATGTTTTTCTGTTGCACAAATAACTCGGCATGCTTATGTATTTTGTTATCCAGTATACTTAAATGTACGCTTTCCCGGGACTTGCGAATGCACAATTATGTTGTTGTGATGTGACTGCACAATCATGTGATGATATATTGATTCCAAGTCAAGGAAATTATGTTGTTGATGTGAAGAATTGTTGGAAGATTCGATTTTTAACTGTTCTATATACCATTTTAATGCAATATGACAATCCCTCCTTATCAAACAATGCTCTGCATGGAGGGGGTGTGTGGCTAGAGGGGGATTTGAGATTTCAAAGGGATTGGGTGGAAGAGGGGGATTCACCAAATCCCCTGAAATCCCCTCCTTCCAAAACCTCCATAATCCCTTCCTATCAAACGAGGCCTTAGGAGTCCGGACAATATTGCCAATGCATACAGTCTGTGCTTTTATCTTTAGGAATTTGCATCAGTATCTTGTTTAAACATCTACTCACTCCGTCCCATAATGTAAGACGCTTTTTGACACTAATGTAGTGTGAAAAAGCGTCTTACATTATTGGACGAAGGGAGTAGAATATATATCTTCAGTAACCTATTTAACAATGCTTTTCAACTTTTTTCCATATTGTAACATACTTCCTGTGTTGTGTAATAATCTACTGATAGCCAGTTACAACACCATTTTACTATGGACATAGCATATGATGTTCTTTATTCTCAGCAAAGCAAACATCTCATTTGTTTCACATACTATTCTCTACAAAAAACTAAGCGTTGCTGAAGTTGGAGTTATAATGGCGTTAGTAACCTTTGTGATGCTTCTTACACGGCAAACCAACTTGTTCTTGATTATCTATGGGTTATTTATCCAGATGTTGCACATAGGAGTATTGTGGAGCTAATAATATTTGAATCTGAGCTAGCCTACTATTTCAATTTGAGGTCAAAAATTACAAATCTCGGTGTTTGTTTTCAGTTGTCAATCTTCTTCCCTTCTCCTTTTTTGGGTCACTTTTGATAGCTTCTTTCATTCTGTACATATTAGTTGCCGCCTCAAGCCTTGGCTCTCAATTTACTGGAAAATGCAATCTTCATTTACTGAGTTATATTTTTGTCTTGCTTTCTTCCAGGTCCCTCATACAGTGGTTCAGAAAAAAAAAACCTATCCAATGGAGATGATGCACGAGGAGCAACAAAGACATGATCCATGAAGCCTATGTTGTTCTTTTTCTCGTTCGTTAGTTTACTTATTTATGGTTGGATGCCAAGTAGCCAATTAGACGCTTTTTTGTAGATTAGTTGCTTAGTTTCATATGTTAAACTGCGTTGTCGAGTGTAGTGAACAAGCAATCAACGCGGCACATGTGGAAGTTGTGAGAGCTGTGAATGGCACCGGTCTTGTCATACTTATGAGCAGGAGCACCGACCACATTACTCTTCATGCCACTCTGAGCAGTCGGCTGCTGCTTGAGATTGATTTTCATGTTGAAGGAAAGGGAGACCTAATTGAGTTCCTATATATGCAAGGATAAAGAAGAAGGGGCATTGTCGTGGTTGTTGTTGAAGGTGTTGGTCAGGAGCTGATTACTCGGACTGATGATAAGAACGGAGAGTAGGATGAGTATGTCAACATGTTGTTCCTTGACGTTGGCCTTCTTCTATAAAGTTCACATGCAACTCTCCTCCATGGTTAGAAAAAACTAATTTAAACGTTTTGTTTCTTTGGTGGTTACTCGTTTCTCTTACCGTTGTTATATCAAAACAATTGCATTTTCGTTGATGGCCGCTTGGGCTCATTTTCAAGGAGAATGAGATGTGGAATAAACTACTTTGAAATGGTTGGTTCCCTTCAAACAATTTATTAGCTAACTAATTTTGGCTGCTGTTACACATGATACAATTGTGCTCTGTTGTTGCCATCTTGCATTTTATGTGAGCTTCAGACAATCAATTAAATTTTTACTAAGTTCTTACCGTATGTATTTTCTCAAATAGTTACTGAAAAAATACAAATATTTTTAGCAAGTACATGGTTTTAAATGGGACTCGGTGCCGTTTAGGGCAATGAGCAGTGTTATATAAATATAATTTTTTGGTGCAATGGTTATACATTTTTTTCTCAAACTTGGATTTCATAATGTGATAGACATTTTCAAAAGAGTATGGTTTAATATATGGGCTTTCTACAACGAGTATTGAAGTCCTTGCAAAATGAAACTATTTTCATCGACAACATGACTTTAGTGGGCCTCTGCGCCATTTGGCGCAACGGATAAGAAATTGCACCGGTCGGTGGCTGAGGAAACGCCTCTGTCACCCAGCTAAGGAACCGCTGGATCCTCCCCCTGCCGCTTCATATTCAGCTCCTCACGGGCCACAGGCATCGCTCTACGTGGGCTGGGCTAAATAACATGTGGGCTATCCTAATACCTCTTTATCCCTATGTCTCTGTATATGCACAATAAAGACATGTTCTTTTTCTTAGGTTTCTTATATTTTCCCTCTTTTTTGCAGGAAAAAGATGCACAGCCAGGTTTCTCATCATGATAATCATGTTTTTAAACTTGCTAAAAAAATACAACCATCCATCTTTACTCTCTCATCATAGTGGCCGTATTTTCAAACTGAACATATTTATATTATGCAAAGTTTCCCTTTTCCCGAACTATTATTTAACAACGTAATAAACATGTTTAAAAAATTGCATGATTTAGTTGAAGGTTCTTGTAGCATGAAACTATTTTCATCGACATCATGTCTTCAGCAGGTCTCTGCGCCATTTGGCGCAACAGGTCAACTAGTATTCATGAAAACATAATAGGTTCAGATCTGAAATCATGGCACTCGGGCCCTAGTGACAAGCATTAAGCATAACAAAGTCATAGCAACATCAATCTCAGAACATAATGGATACTAGGGATCAAATTCCAACAAAACTAACTCGATTACATGATAAATCTCATCCAACCCATCACCGTCCAGCAGGCCTACGATGCAATTACTCACGCACGACGGTGAGCATCATGAAATTGATGATGGAGGATGGTTGATGATGACGACGACGACGAATCCCCCTCTCCGGAGCCCCGAACGGACTCCAAATCAGCCCTCACGAGAGAGATTAGGGTTTGGCGGCGGCTCCGTATCGTAAAACGCGATGATTTCTTCTATCTGGTTTTTTTCTCCCCGAAAGCCAATATATGGAGTTGGAATTGGCGTCGGAGGGCCACCAGGGGGCCCACGAGGTAGGGGGGCGCGCCCAGGGGGAGCGTCCCCCACCCTTGTGAGCAGAATGTGGCCCCCCTGATCTTCATCTTTTGCGAGGATTTTTTATTGTTTTTTCTAAGGTGTTCCGTGGAGTTTCAGGACATTCCGAGAACTTTTATTTTCTGCACAAAAAACAACACCATGACAATTCTGCTGAAAACAACGTCAGTCCGGGTTAGTTCCATTCAAATCATACAAGTTAGAGTCCAAAACAAGGGCAAAAGTGTTTGGAAAAGTAGATACGACGGAGACGTATTAGAGTGCGCCGTCCTCAAGCTCCCTCCTTGCACCGGACACAGGGGAGAAAACTCTCGAATGGGGGTAAAATACCCCTATAAGTCGAGCCTACCAAAGTCGCATGCGGTGGGGTTTGTAACCCCGCCATCGTTGAGCCAAGATGAGGAGGCCCGACACCGGTGACGGAGCCGGAGTGCACGGCGGCGGTGTTGCATTGGCCCGTGGCAGCGACATGGTGCAGAAACGGGACGACGTCCGAAGAACCGCAACGAGATCCTGGCCGGGAGAGGGGAGGCCGACAATCCACCTCTGCCGGATGGGGTTGCTGCCGGCGATGATGGAAGTAGGGGGAGGGGGGTGTGGCTCTGCCATCGGAGACATCGAAGGGACGGTAAGGGAAGAGGGAGCGAGTGTGTGTGAACTGACGTGAAAGGTGATTGAAGAGAGGGTGGGGAGTTATGAGACGTCACATCGTCTTTGGTGCTTCCCCACGCGTGGCTCGAGCGAGCCTGGCTCGGAAAAAAGACCGATGCGGCCGTTTCACTGAATGCAGCTGCTTCGAGTTTCATGCGTGAACAGATATAGCCCACGCAACCAAATAGGCAGATTTTATTTCGCGCGGGCCTGTGTGAGCGTAATGCAGCGTACCAAGCCCGACCGCTCGTTCGGGGCTGGTACGGGTCCGTTTGTAGATGTTCTTACAGTTCTCCCCGCGCGCGCGCGCGAAAAGAAGCCCAATTCATCAACAAGCAAATGCGCGCGGGCGCGGCCATGTCGGCGGACCCCCAGCTCCTTGCGGCGGCGGTGGAGGCCGCGATCGCGTCGCGCTCCCCGCGGCTCGGCCGTGCCGCGCACGCGCGCGCCCTCAGGCTGCTGTCGCCGGGCATCCCGCCCTTCATCTGCGCGCACCTTGTCAACCTCTATTCCAAGCTCGACCTCCCCGCGGCCGCCGCCTCCGCCCTCGTCTCCGACCCCAGCCCCACCGTCGTGTCATTCACGGCCTTCATCTCCGGCGCCGCGCAGCACGCGCGCCCGCTCCCCGCCCTCTCTGCCTTCGCCGCCATGCTCCGCCTCGGCCTCCGCCCCAACGACTTCACCTTCCCCTCCGCGTTCAAGGCCGCCGCCTCCGCGCCAACTCGCTCCGCCGCCGGCCCGCAGATACACGCGCTCGCCATTAGGTTCGGCTACCTCCCCGCCGACGCCTTCGTCTCATGCGCCGCGCTGGACATGTACTTCAAGACCGGCCGCCTCGGCCTGGCTCGCCGCCTGTTCGAGGAAATGCCTAACAGAAACGTGGTAGCGTGGAACGCAGTGATGACCAACGCCGTGCTCGACGGCCGGCCCCTCGAGACGGTCCAGGCTTACTTTGGGCTCCGGGAGGCTGGCGGTATGCCGAATGTCGTCTCGGTCTGTGCGTTCTTCAACGCGTGTGCCGGGGCGATGCTCCTGTTGCCTGGGGCCCAGTTCCATGGGTTCGTGGTGAAGTGTGGTTTTGACATGGATGTCTCAGTGTCGAATGCGATGGTTGATTTCTATGGGAAGTGCCGATGCGCGGAGAAGGCAAAGATGGTGTTTGATGTGATGAGAGTCAGGAACAGTGTATCATGGTGTTCCATGGTTGTTGCATATGCACAGAACGGGGCAGAGGAGGATGCTTTTGCTGTGTACCTGGGTGCGAGGAGGGCGGGGGAAGAGCCGACTGACTTCATGGTCTCCAGCGTGCTCACTACATGCGCAGGCCTGCTAGGCCTTGACCTTGGGCGTGCTCTGCATGCAGTTGCTGTACGCTCTTGCATCGAGGCAAACATCTTTGTTGCAAGTGCATTGGTTGACATGTACGGGAAGTGTGGGGGTGTTGAAGATGCTCAACATGTCTTTTTTGATATGCCACGACGGAATCTTGTCACATGGAATGCGATGATTGGAGGGCATGCCAACATCGGTGATGCTATAAACGCACTTGCGGTGTTCAGTGATATGATAGCGAGTGGAGAGACAGCACCTAACTACATCACACTTGTAAATGTGATCACAGCCTGCAGTAGAGGAGGTTTGACCAAGGAAGGCTATGAGCTGTTTGAGACAATGAAGGAGAGGTTTGGGATACAACCACGAACTGAGCACTATGCTTGTGTGGTTGACTTGCTTGGGCGAGCAGGAATGGAAGAGCGAGCTTACGAGATTATACAGAGGATGCCAATGAGACCTTCCATTTCTCTCTGGGGAGCACTACTTGGGGCATGCAAGATGCATGGGAAGACAGAGCTGGGAAGGATTGCAGCTGAGAAGTTGTTTGAACTTGACCCTCAGGACTCTGGCAATCACGTGCTGCTCTCGAACATGCTCGCATCAGCTGGCAGGTAAAAGTAACTTCCTTTCTCATTCTGAATTTCTCTTAGGGGATCATCGTGATATTGACGCTGTGAGAAATACTCCCATATATGATATATCAATGCCTAAAGGAGTTCACCTCAAAACTAACAATCCCACATATCAGTGTGGGGTGTCGTAACTTGGCAGTAGATCGCTTATATTCTTCATGGCATACTCTATTACATGCTTCCTCCCTCCGACCGTCCCACAATATAAGGCGTATTTGCAAGCTATGTTAGCTTGCGATTGTGTGAAGTAAAGATCTTTTTATTTAAAGCGGATTTCTCCCTAAAAAAAGTATCATCCATCTAATTTGTTGAAGTATGGAATTCTCACCCAAGCCATCCGTTGAGGGTGGAAATTTAAGAATAAATAAGTTTTAAGCACAAAAACGTCTTATATTATGGGACAGAGGGAGTATTAAACTATCTCCTCTTATCTCTTGGCCTATTCATGCATCCACAATGTATGCATGCCGCTGAGCTCTCTCTTTCTCTATCTCCTCTTGGTGGCAGCCTCTATACACTGCAGACTGCTGCCTCTAACCAAAAAACGCTAGCATCGCCTCCTAGCTTGCAGGCTGCCTTCATCAACTAAAATAATAGAGCCCTGTTCGGTTGCTGGGAGAGCACATCTGCAGCATTCTCATGTTAACCGAAGCACTATGTTGCGGAAATAACAAAACAATATTTTAATACCTTTTTAAACATTTGATGAGATATCTGCCAGATTATGCCATTCTTTGGAACTTAATATAGCCTTACACAATCAATGCATTAGCACACAATTCATACTGTTGGTTTAATGTGTCTTCTGAACTTGTCCAGGTGGGCAGAAGCAACTTATGTAAGGAAGGAGATGAAAGATGTCGGAATCAAGAAAGACCCAGGGTGTAGCTGGATCACTTGGAAAAATGGTGTGCATGTTTTCCATGCCAAGGACACCAAACATGAGATGAATAGCGAGATCCGGGCATTACTGGCCAAGCTTAAAAAACAAATGCAAGCTTCTGGGTACATGCCAGACACACAATATTCACTTTATGATCTTGAGGAAGAAGAGAAAGAATCAGAGGTGTTTCAACATAGTGAGAAGCTTGCCCTGGCCTATGGACTCATTCACATTCCGCCTGGTGTACCTATAAGGATCACAAAGAACTTGCGAATATGTGTGGATTGTCACCGAGCTTTCAAGTTTATATCTGGTATTGTTGACAGGGAGATAATTGTGAGGGACAATAATAGGTTTCATCACTTCAAACAATATGAGTGTTCATGCAAGGATTACTGGTGAAAACTCTGTCCATGTGAAATGTGATACAGAAAGGTATGCAACAACAGTTCCTGTAGGATAGTTACATCAGATTATAAATTATCTCTCCAGAAGGATGATGTTTCAGCTCACTTCTTTATGTATTGGTATATTACTCCCTTTGTTTGAACTTTCAAAGAAGTAGAAGTATAGAGGTTAATTGAGCAATAGATCTCAGTGTTACTACAAATATCCAGCATAACTACAGTAGAAAACTATCAAGTTACCAATGCATGTTTTTGTATTACTACTGAAGTTGCAGCATCGAGAGAACAACAACAACAACAACAACAAAGCCTTTAGTCCCAAACAAGTTGGGGTAGGCTAGAGGTGAAACCCATAAGATCTCGCGACCAACTCGTGGCTCCGGCACATGGATAGCAAGCTTCCACGCACCCATGTCCATAGCTAGTTCTTTGGTGATAGTCCAATCCTTCAGGTCTCATCGAGAGAAGTACTTGGAAAAATTATTCAAATAGCAGGTAGTTATTAATTTTCCTATTCAAAAACAAGGACAAGCGCTACTTGTTTATCTCCTTTCTCGATTTGAAAACTAATATTCACCTATATTGGTGGTTCATTAAAAGTGGCACCTGCAGTATTAAAGGATGACTATCTCTAGACGCCAACTTTTATTGTGATTCATTTTGTTGTCTGAATATGGTTGTGAAGTACCGCTCTCCCTTGCTTTATCTGACAAAAATGGCCTATAAATAAGTTTTTCTCTGATTTGGTTTACTTTAACTAATTTATGAAGCAGGAAGAAACAGCGGAGAAGATCAAGAGCTGGGTGAGGATGGCCACGAACAACCTCATCGGCTCCATCATCTCTGCCGACACCAACATCGACCTCGTGCTTGCCCATGCGGTCTACTTCAAGGCCAAGTGGTGTGGTGCAGTACGTTTGAGACACACTGGATGAGGCTGGGCACGTTCACTGGCTGGATGCCTTGATGGCGGTCGCGTTTGATGCACAGGTCATTGTACGACGCGCATCCATGAACGGGTTCAAGTTCCTGAAGCTCCCTTACAGGCATGGCTGAGACGACGAACCCATATTCCCATACCAGCACAACCAAGGCGCTGCGGCCAGCGAGGCTCCATCTGACACGGACAACACACATTACTCAGTGTACCGCAAGGCTGGAGTACTTGTACAGCATCACACCCAAGACGACAGCCGTCAACTGTTGGGCTGCCCAAATTCGAGGTAAACTTGAAATGGGACCTCCATCTGCTTGGGCTCACCCTACCGTTCTCGCCAGAGTCAGATGACCTGCCAAGCATCATGTGCCAATGTGCAAGGACCACGACAGGTGGCCGACATTCCTGAGAAAGAGTGTGCACCAAGCAGTCATCAATGTGGACGAAGAAGGAACTGAGGCGGCCATGATCATAATTGGGGTCATACAATGTACTGGGAAGACACCAAGCAACGAGTTCGTCTCCGACCGTCCCTTCACTTTCTTCATGATGGAGTAGAGGGTGCTTGTGTTTGCTGGCAGGATCAAGATTTTAGAAACTTCAGGCATTGGCTATCTGCTTCTTTTACTTTTGCGTCTAGCTGTCTCGATGTTTTCAGAACAATCGAGCAAAACCAGAATGCAAACATTCCAGTTCCATGTATTTATGCAATCAACTTCAGAATTTTGATGAAAAGATCAGCGGTGTATATCTGTAAAATAATGCACTATGTAGTAGCAGACTCCAGAAATATAAACTGACAAACCAAATTAATTTCAGAAAGTCAAGTAATTACTTTAGCACAGGAACACAACACTTTATAAGCACAATCACAGGCGCAAAATCAAGGGTTTGCTGTCATACAAAGATTAATGACTGCAAAATAATTAGGCCAGGTTACCAATACTACTGTGGTAGAAACAAAGCAATAACCTAAACAGTAGGAAAACCAACAGACATCAAGTGGGGACTAGACCAACATAATCCTCAGCACTGTCTATCCTAATTAACACAGCGATGATTGCAACAATGAAAATGATTATGCCCAAAAGACAACTGAATGCTGTCTTATACTTGCTGGTCTTCCCTCTGCTTCTTTTCACACAAACACCCAGCTCCTTGAATTCAACCTCGGAGGATTCTTCACAGGTTGTATTCTCAACTTCAGTACTAGACAGACCTGATTTATCTTCATTGCAGATAATCTCCATAGTACCCTTAGCGCTAGGCCTATCAGCAGCGGTTTCAGTCTCTTTGTTCCCCTCTTCAGTCTTACTCTCAGAATGCTCAGATTGCATATCCTCAGATGACTCGGTTAGTTCCTTATGTTCCTGATCTGATGGTGGTGATGATGATGATGATGATGACGACGACGACAATGATGTGCAGTTCAGCTTCATGATTGATTTTTCCTTGTGGCGATCAGAGTCGAAGTCGTACGAACTCTGGAGAGATCGGAGAAGCTTTCTCGGCGTCGTGTATAGCTTCACATCATCAATGCTGATGGGCCTTTCAGAAGCCTAGAACAACAGTAAATAACAAAGTCAGTTAACAGGTCAATTGATGTACACACATTATTTTTCGAATCAAAACTAAAGCAGTATATGCGTTTCATTATGTGTACGTACCTGCGGACTGGGGGTCTCATCTGTTGGTAAGGTGTTGTTGGGGCTGGCTGAAACAAACCCTGTGAATGTGCCAGTGCACTCAAAATCAGCATCGGTTACTTCGCTGTCACAAACCTCCCCCAGGTCATCTTCAAGGCACTTGCCGTTTGAGCAGAACCTAATGAACAAGCCATCCTTGAGAGAAACATCCACACCATCGTTGCTCCATAACCTCCTGTTTGCGCGCCGGCTCTGATTGAAATTGCAAGAAGACTGCCCGATCGAGATGGGCGATTCGGTGAGCGTACTACTGCCATACATGATGGTTGAGTCTACCACCTGCGATTCAGGGGACTGGAACTGAACCGGTGAAGCAGACATGGTGGAGCTTGCAGGGCTGCTGCCCTTGGCACTCCAGAGGCTCCTGCATGGGCTTTTCTCTCTTCTCTTCTGGAAGTTGGAGCCTACCATCGGGCTCGTGGTGACCTCGTGCCTCGACCCCTTCTGCGCAGCAATGTTCTTGGCGGTCTGCGACGTCTCAAACGCGGCGCCTCGGACGAACGGCATGCGGTCGTTCTGGCATTGCTCCATGACAACCACCACCTTGCCAAGCTCCGAGGATATGCTCCTGGGGTCGACAAACTTCATGAAGAAATTGATCATCTGGATCGCCGAGAGCCGCTTCTGGGAGCTGCTCTCCGCGGCGTCGCCGTCAAGAACCTGCAGGGCAGACCGCACAAGGGACCTCGCATACGCCTCTGCGATCAGGCCGTTGTGCTTGACAAGCGCCATTGCCAGGCCCATGTGAGCATTGGACCGGGTCGACCTGTCGTGCATCGCCCCGGCGACCTTCAGGCAGACCTCGTTGACGGCCTCACCGGACGCAAACCTCCAGTTGCTCGATTCCACGAGCGCCTTGAGGCAGAGCGCGGCGCCCGACGCCGCGCCGTCCTGGTCGCTCATGAGCGCGCCGCAGAGGGGCTTGCAGAGGGAGGCGATGATGCGCGCCTTCTCCTCCTCGGGCGCCGAGGGGTCGATGCCGTACCGCGCTATGGCTGGCACCACCTTGGAGCACGCCTGGTGCAGCGGGAAGGAGCCGCCGCTCGAGGACAGCGTGCGCGTGATGGTGGACATGATGTTGCCGATCTGCGGCACGATGTTCCGGCCGTGGACCCTGGCGAGCACCTCGTAGAGCGAGATGGTGAACTCGCCGGAGGGCAGGCCGGGGGCTTTGTTGTCGGAGACCTCGGCGAGGAAGTGCGGGATGGACTTGGAGTCCAGCTGCTTGGCGTAGGACTTGAGCGTCTTCATGGCGTTCCGACGGCTGTCGGCGTCTTTGTCCAGGTTCTCCAGCTCCTGCCGGAGCAGCGGGCTCAGGCTCCGGCCCATTGGTTTGGTGGTCCTCGCCTTCTCGGGACAGGAGAATGCAGCAGCTTCCGCTTCCGGCACGCTGGTCCTGTGATTCAAACCCAAGATTCAGGCGAAAAATTTGGCATCTTTCCCTCATATATCCAGCATAATTAAACAGATGTAATGGCAAATTGGCCCTAGCATCCATCAAAACATATACTCCTACAAGATTACGGTATATCAAAATTTAGTACTCCATAAAGTAGTGCCATAAATACCAAATCATGAAACGAATGCCAGATTTTCGCATGGCCGCATCAGAAAGAAGCAATCCAATCGCAACTACACTACACAGCGCGCACTTTTCTTCCCCCCGAACCCCCTCCCTTTCCAATCGAGAAACTACTACAAGGAATCGATGCAGAGCAAGACCGGCAAAGAGGGGAGAAGTATGCTCCAGCATTCAACTGACCTGGATCGAAGAGCTTGCAAGGCCTCGCAATGAATCAGCAGAGAGCCAGAGACCCAAACCTTTCTCTCTCTCTCTCTCTCTCTCTCTCTCTCTCTCTCTCTCTCTCTCTCTCTCCCTCACTCACTCTCTCTCTCTCTCTCGATTTGAAATTTGAACTGGGAGCGTGTGTCGCAGGAAGATGACAAATGTTATGAGTGGGTCTCGACAGATGCGGAGGCTAAAATGGGGAGGGGTGTTAAGATTGGGATTCCCCGGGCGGGGGTGAGCCTCCTACTTTTCTCACGCTTGGCCTGTCAGACCCAGTGGAGGAGAAATCAGGAGTACACCATCCGGTCCCATTTTTCAGTGACCGGTTCGGGCGCAGGCGCTGGTGCGTCAACACCGGGCGTTTCGAACGGACGACGCGCAGCACGCGCGGAAGGTGCGTGAATTTTGAAATCTGGGGGCGTGGAAATTACAGTCCTAGCCATGGCGGAGCCTATTGACTGACTGTACGTGGACCGGGCTCACGGGCTCCAGCGTCGGCATGACCAACCGGCAAACGTCTTCTATTCTACGCTCATGGTTGACAAAATTTAGCAAATAGCATACATATTCTCGAAAGTGTCCCTCTCAGCTCGAGCTCATAAGAAGCTCTTAAGTAAACAGTAAAGTTCGAAATTTTTGCAGGAAAAATATAAAAAAAACTGATTTTTTGGTAACAAACTTTGACCAATGTTTTCAATTTTTCATCATGAAATGGCATTTGTGGGGTGCTGATTTTGCTTTTTTGTCACATCTTCCACAAATGTCGTTCTATGGTAAAACTTTGCAAGCATTTAAATTATCTGGCAAATTTTGCCACAGAAAAATTCAGAATATTTATAACATTTTTTCAGTTTTATCGGATTTTATTGTTCAACCGAGCTCATATAAGCTCGACTTCAGTTAATCTGTGTACATATATTCTTTACTAGTTACCGAAGGACTAGTAATCGTGTTCGTGCAATGCGTCTATTCCCCATTGGATAATTTTTTTAATTGCAAATTAAAGTAACAAGAATTTTTTTAATTACCTTACTGTATTATCTCAATAGTAAGTCTTTTATTAATTCGAGACTGATCTTGGGCTCATCTACGCCAGATGAATAGTAAATTCTAAAAAGAATTGTAAAAAATGTGTTTTTATATTGCATGGAAGATGATCGAGCGTGCAAGCTTCATGATGTTTGACACGACCTCCTCGAATGTCCAAACGTCATGAATTTTTGCACGCACATCACTCAATCAACCATCTTACATGAGAAAAAAGAAGTTTTTTTTGTACTATTTTAAATGATTTTACTGTTCACTCCTAAGTGCAGCCCCGAATCGCTGATTCTATAGCCTTGCCGATGAAAGCCCAAACGCCTCCCTACGTACTCCCAGGTTCAACAACCAAGGATACTTGTAGGGGCGGAGCGTCAATCATAATCAAGTGGGGGCCAAACAGGATCACAGACTAGATATAGCTACCGAGATTAGAGGAAGAGATTAGCACCTTGGCTTGCTTGTGTTTCTCTCTCAGTTGTGTGCTATAACACCTTGTGGGCTACTTGTTTCTCGCACTCACATATGTAGGATTCCATGACAGATCGAGCCAGGGATTCAATTTCTAGGTTGAGGATTTCACCCAAACCTCCCTCACCTCTATCCAGATACATTCCAATCCAGCCTCGACCTCAGCCATTCAAATCCTAGCCAAGAGAGAAGAGTCGTCGCCTACAGTTATTTAAACGGTACACCCACTTAGCGGGCCTAGTTTGGGCTAGCAAGCCACTGGGAAAGTCTTCTGGGCCGCATGGGCCTGGGCCTTTGTTCCTCCATTGCTTTAGTCTTGCTCTTGTTGACAACGCCGTTGCCAGGAACAGTACTCCGTCTTGCATCTTCAGAAGCAATGGTTGCATCTCCAAAGATGGTGGCTTCAGGGTCGCTGGCATCCACCCTGCCCCGATGAAAAACCGCTTGCCCCCAAGCCATAGAACACGAGAACTGTTGTTTGAGAAACTCCAAGTCTTCCCAAGTAGCTTCCTCTAGGGACGAGTCGCTCCACCGAATCAAGCCCTGGGAAACGGTGCTCTTGTCGTGCTGACGCACACATTGCTAGAGGACGCGCATGGGTACCTGAAGAGAAGCATGGGAAGATGCAAGCTTACTGTGAACAGGACCATCAGGAAGCACCACCTTCTTAAGATGGGACACATGAAAAACAGGATGAATTCTGCTCCCAGGTAGTAGTTCCAATTTGTAAGCAACATCTTCATTTTTGCCCATGATAGTGTAAGGTCCAAAGTACTTTAATGTCAATTTATGATTGGCTCTGTGCACCGCCGATGACTGCACATAAGGTTGCAGTTTCAGGAAAATGTGCTCTCCCACTTCAAATGATCTCTCACTTCTGTTTTTGTCTACCATCTATTTCATTCTTTGAGATCGAAGTAGAGGCCTGACAGAGGCCACTACAACTTCCCTGTCCTGCAACCGCTACTGGATATCCACAGGAGCAACAATATCAGAAGCAACAATACCAAATGCCTCGGAGAATGCCCATAGAGTACTTCAAAAGGTGATTTACCCACCGCTGAATGCCAATTGGTGTTGTACCAGAATTCACACATAGACAAGCACTTACTCCACTTGGAAGGATGAGAACTGATAAAGCTTCTGAGATAACATTCTGTCTGTTGGTTAACCCTCTTAGTTTGCCCATCTCTAGCAGGGTGATAAGCTAAACTCGTGTTTAACTGAGTCTCGGCCCTCTGAATAAGTGTCTGCCAAAAGGTGCTAGTAAAAACAGGGTCTATGTAAGACACAATATATTCAGGCATACCATGCAGTTTATAAACATTGTCCAAGAAAACTTCAGCAACCTTTTGTACAGAGAAAGGATGTTTGATGGACATGAAATGGCCATATTTTTTAAACTTGTCAATGACCACAAAAATGCAATCAAACTGACTGGAAGGTGGCAACCCAGTAATGAAATCCATAGTCACAGTCTCCCCAGCCTTGCTGGGTATTGGTAGAGGAGATAAAAGACATGGATGCTTTACTCTCTCAGGCTTAGCTTGCTGAAACACAATACAAGCTTGTACCTTGTTTCTAATAAAACCCTTCATGCATGTCCACTTGAACAAGGAGTGGATTCTGTGGTATGTGACTGGAAATCCAGAGTGGCCACCAATAGGACTATCATCGAAAGCAGAGAAAACTTTATTTTGAAGCTCTAAATCATTTCCAATCCAAATACATCCTTTGTGTTGGGGAACATAGTGATTTCAAAAAAATTCCTATGCACACTCAAGATCATGGTGATGCATAGAAACGAGAGGGGAGAGTGTTGTCCACGTACCCTCGTAGACCGATAGCGGAAGCGTTATAACAACGCAGTTGATGTAGTCGTACGTCTTCACGGCCCGACCGATCAAGCACCGAAACTACGGCACCTCCGAGTTCTAGCACACGTTCAGCTCGATGACGATCCCCGGACTCCGATCTAGCAAAGTGTCGGGGAAGAGTTATGTCAGCACGACGGCGTGGTGACGATCTTGATGTTCTACCGTCGCAGGGCTTCGCCTAAGCACCGCTACAGTATTATCGAGGTGGACTATGGTGGAGGGGGGCACCGCACACGGCTAAGAGATCCAAGGGATCAATTGTTGTGTCTATGGGGTGCCCCCCTCCTCCGTATATAAAGGAGTGGAGGAGGGGGCCGGCCAAGGGGGGTGGCGCGCCCAAGGGGGGGAGTCCAACTCCCACCGGGAGTAGGACTCCCCCTTTTCCTATTAGGAGTAGGAGAGGGAAGGAAGAGGAAGGAGGGAGGAAGGAAAGGGGGGGCCCTCCCAATTCGGATTGGGCTTGGGGGGGGGTGCCCCCTCCCTTGCTCCTTTCCACTAAGGCCCAATAAGGCCCATATACCTCCCGGGGGGTTCCGATAACCTCCCGGTGATCCGGTATTGTCCCAATCTCACCCGGAACCTTTCCGGTGTCCAAATATAGTCGTCCAATATATCAATCTTTATGTCTCGACCATTTCGAGACTCCTCGTCAAGTCCCTGATCATATCCGGGACTCCGAACAACCTTCGGTACATCAAAATATATAAAGTCATAATGAAACGGTCATCGTAACGTTAAGCGTGCGGACCCTACGGGTTCGAGAACAATGTAGACATGACCGAGACATGTCTCCGGTCAATAACCAATAGCGGAACCTGGATGCTCATATTGGCTCCCACATATTCTACGAAGATCTTTATCGGTCAGACCGCATAACAACATACGTTGTTCCCTTTGTCATCGGTATGTTACTTGCCCGAGATTCGATCGTCGGTATCTCAATACCTAGTTCAATCTCGTTACCGGCAAGTCTCTTTACTCGTTCCGTAATACATCATCTCACAACTAGCTCATTAGTTGCAATGCTTGCAAGGCTTAAGTGATGTGCATTACCGAGAGGGCCCAGAGATACCTCTCCGACAATCGGAGTGATAAATCCTAATATTAAAATACGCCAACCCAACATGTACCTTTGGAGACACCTGTAGAGC